GTTAATATTCGCAGTTCAATCTGAGATCGCACACAAGTTGTCTTTACGAGGCATATAAAATGCTTCGTTTAGTAAGAAACAAGGTATTTGATTTGAAATTAATATATATTCAACAATATATTACAAAAAAGGTTTTATTTATTTTTATAAAAAGATAAAAATCGTACATATTCCAATATGTCTTTTCATTACTTCACTTACAGTTACTTAAAAGGGGTCTCGGAAATAATCGAACGGTCACTACATTTAAAGAAAACGAGACAAAGAACATCGATGTTCCTAACAATGCCGACGTTGTAATAATAGGTAACTAAGTTTATACCAGTAGAAACAAAAGAACTGTATTAATCGGATTAGCAGTTTAGATAATAATTGAATATTCCGTATTGTATATTAATTAAAATGAATTAAATGATTTTTAACAATATCATTTTTCGCATGTAAAATCAAATAGAAATAAATATCTTAACATTGATCTTAACGTTTATAGATACATATTAATATTTATTAACAATTTTAATAAAAATTTCCATGATAGGTGGTGGTAGCGCTGGTTGCAATGCACTTTATCAATTAGGAAAACGTGGAGTTAATGCAATACTTTTGGAAAAATCTAAGCTTATATCTGGTACAACATGGCATACAGCAGGTCTCCTGTGGCATCTACGCGGAATATGCGACGTAGAGACGGAATTGATAAAAGCTTCGCGATTGCTTTATGCATCTTTACAAGAAGAAACAGGTATAAATCCAGGATGGATAAACAATGGTGGACTCTACATCGCTTATTCTCCCGTAAGTAGGAATATCTTCATGCAATTGATATTTATTTTTCGGAGAATATCTATTGATTTCCATAGGAGCGAGTAGTCGACTACGAAAGATTAATTACTAGTTGTAAGAATTTTGGTATCGACGGGTACATGATTGATCCAGTCGAAGCGAAAGAAAAATTTCCCCTCATAGATAAAAATGCATTCCAAGCTGCGATGTATTGTCCAGCGGATGGTACGATAGATCCTGCCATGTTAGTAAATGCATTGAAAAAATCAGCGGAAAAAAACAGTTGTAAGGTATTTTTATTCATTTTCTTCATCATCTGTTTCTATAACACACATATTTACATAATAAATTTAATTTTGTATTTCACAATAAATTTTATAATTAGCAATTAGTAGAGTTATTTATTCAATAGTGATGTATGTGTTCTATAAAAATGATTAAAACCAAAAATGATGGTTAATTATTCGTTAAAAACTAATCTAATTAAATATAATTTTTTAAGGTCATCGAAGATTGTCCGGTCACTAAAATTCTCGTAGAGAATGTTGACGGACATAAAATTATTCGCGGAGTAGAAACGCCTCATGGTATAATAAAAACCGACGTTATACTAAATGCGGCAGGAGCATGGTCCGGAACAATAGCGCAAATGGTAGGATTGGACATTCCATTGGTACCGATGAAACACGCATACATTGTTACTGAGCCGATGAACGTACGAGGGTTGCCAAATATTCGAGATCCCGATTTTAATATCTACTTTCGAGTGCAGGGTGGAAATATAAATATCGGAGGATATGAACCTAATCCTATCATATTGAAATTTGTAAGTTGAATGTTAAGATTGAACCTAATTGCTATTATAGCAGAAACATGCGCACATGTAACAATTTAAATTCTATGTATTCTTGATTAATTCAAACGATATGTATTGTTTAGCCACCAAAAGATTTTTCCTTTAGTTTATACGAGTTGAATTGGGACGTATTCAATATTCATATTGAAGCGATGAACCGATTGATACCCACTTTGGCAACTGCTGGAATAAGGACAACTGTGTGCGGCCCAGAAAGTTTTACTCCCGATCATAGACCTATCATGGGTACAAAATTTCATTAATTTATGATCGATGCTTGTGTGATATAGATACTTGAAATTTAAAATACGATAATGTCCGAAAGGTGAAGATCCACGCTGCACAGGTCTTTATTATTCTTGTGGATATAATAGCGCTGGGATGATGTTTGGAGGTGGTTGTGGAGAACAAATAGCATTATGGATAATTAATGGACGACCGGATAAACACATGTTCAATCAGGACATCAGACGGTAAAAATTTATTCAAATTATTTTCATCAAATCTTAATCTGTAGAACAATTATATTTATTTATCGAACTTTTATGTAAATGTATGAATAAATACGTGGGTCGTTTGATAAGTTTGGTAAATTTCCATGAAATAGCGTTACAATCCATTTGATGACGCGACATCTCGAAAGATCCACTCTTCGAACTCTTCAAGCCAAATTTCAAACCAGAAAGGATGCATAGTTCATGTTTGATAGTCATTTGAAGTAAGCTGTCTCAAAGTCTGCAAAATACTCATTGACGGCAACAATGACTTCCTCATTTGACTTTGAGAGAATTTCTTCCCAAGTTTTTAAGTTTGGGAACAGAAAGAAGTCACATGGGGTCAAATTCGGAGAATAGGATGGATGAAGAATCAATTCATAGCCCAATTCGTAGTTTTGTCATTGCAACGGTCGACTTGTGGGACGGCGCGTTGTCTTGATAGAAGAGCGCTTTTTTGCGCGCCAATCTCGCTTCAAATGACTACCAAACGTGAACTAACGCGTCCTTTCTGGCTGAAATTTGGCTTGAAGGGGGGTTCGAAGAGTAGATCTTTCGAGATGTCGCGTCATCAAATGGATTGTAGCGCCATTTCATGGAAATTTACCAAACTTATCAAACGACCCACATATTTCATAACACACTTCTTATATGTCGATATGTAAAATATAAAATACAAAGTAGCAACATGACAAGCAGGATCATTTTTATCAATATCTGCAATTAACACTTTTTCATGTTTTTCTTTCAATCCAGATATATACCAGAGCAAAGAAAAAATTCAGTTTGGGTGAACGAACGAAGTCATGAAGCTTATGCAAAAAATTATAATATCATTTTCTCACATGATGAACATTTAAGCGGTAGAAATTTGAAGACAGATCCTTTCCACAATGTAAGTTATACTTTATGTTAATTTAAACTTTATTTTTCAATTAGATTGTACATCTTTTTCTTTTCAAACACAATATGTTATTGTCATTTTTTTAGTTTCTCGTCAATGAAGGTGCTGTTATGGAAGAGCGACAAGGATGGGAACGTCCAGGATGGTTCCTACTAGATAACAAAAAGGCTCCAGTGTTACCTTATGATTATGGTGGCTATTACGATACACTAAAGAATACGAATGACACATATGCCGATATATTAAAAACAGAATGTACATTTAATTTTCCACCGCACGATAACATTGTAATCTCCTATTTTTTTTTAAGATTGGACTAAAATTATCATACAATGTTTTTGCGTGATTAAAAATATTGATTCGATAATTCTTTTTACATATTATAACAGATACGAGAGGAAGCACTTGCCTGTAGAAATAACGTTGCTTTATTTAATTTATCATATTTTGGAAAACATTACGTATGTGGCCCAGACACGAAAGAAGCGGTGGATTATATATTTACGTCTCAGGTGGATCGAGAAATTAATAGAACTATATATACTTGTATGTTGAATAAAAGAGGAGGAGTAGAAGGCGACTGTACCGTCACTGGTCTAGAATCTGGTTCGGGTGGCGTAGTCGATCCCATATTTAAGGGAAAAGCATTTTATATAGGTATCTGTTTATACATTTTATCGCGCATTATTTTATTCCTATTTTAAATTATATTGATACTTTCATTTTTGATTTTAGTGAGTGGAGGTATGTCATCGTATCATACATGGGCACATATCAGCAGTATAATAAGAGAAAAAGGTTTTAACGTATCTGTGCACAATGTCACGGAGCAAATAGGAATTTTATCAGTTCAAGGTCCTAACAGGTATAAAAAATTAAATGCGAACATGACAGATATATATATATATATATATA